CGCGGCTCGGCCGACCGCATACAAAGTGGCGAGATTTCGGAGATGGCGCCGACGCGCCGACCGACGTTCGCGTTAATTAGATAAGCGACGCTACGACGATCGATAATTATGTGATGCTCATTTAATGAGATCGGAGTCGTTCAAGCGCCCTTTTGCCTCGTGTGTATCGCGCACATCCGAGAGAGATCTGGTTTTCATAGGAAATTATATTAGCATGAAACGCGACTTGCTTTTGTCAGACTATTATAAAAAACGGAGTGAAAGATTCACACTGTATTAATAGAGATAAAATAGAGAACGATATAAATTAAATTAAATATAATTCTTATTTTAGAAATTGAATTTTAACAATGGAAAAAAATTGTTTTAAATAAAAATAGCAAAAATTCTAATTATATAATTTACATATGTGATTTATTCAAAATATACTTGGAATTCGAGTGTTAGAATTAAAATTATTTTTCCGTGATACATTTAACTTTACATTACTATTGCCAAACGGAAGAAAATGAAGAACAGATATACCTATTGTATGTATACTTTGAGAAATAATATAGAAATATATAATATTAAATAAAATATAGATAGAAGTATTAGATAAAATTGTAAACTGCGTGTGTATATTAAATGTTTCCAACGCTGATATGAAAAATAGGCTATTCTGGTTCTTGCATCTAAGTTTTTCTTCAATATCCTCTTTCGATGTGGCAATAAAATTCCAAGTATCCATCAACTATAAATTCAACTCTCTCACCATCGTAACGCAAACATAATTTTTTATCGTTCAGACAATATTTATTCTTTTTCCCTTTCAGAAAATTTGAAATCGAGCAAACTATCTTCCCATTTTAAGAAATAAAAGCGTTTATAAAAAAATATTGAATAAAATCCAGCTAGATGTTAAAAAGAAAAAAAAACAGAAAAAATTAAATTTGCTTTTATATGCTAACGCAAATGAATATTAATCATATTTAATCATACTTGAATTAAGTATTGAATTTTCTAAAAGTGTTTAAGAGAAAATTACGTGAAGAATTGAATAATTCGATTGTGAAAATCGGTTAGCATAATTCACACAGCGAATGTTCAATAATCTTTGATCCGGTTTTATCGATAAGCCCACGGGAATAGTTGACCTCTCTCTTGCGGGGAATGATGTGGGGCGCTGTTTATTCAGCTTCCACGGATCTCACTGATCAGAACCATGGATACCGCGAGTGAGAACGATCGAGTGTGTCCCGCCACGCTCGAGAATCTACAGTGTGTACACAGAGACGATACGCGCATTTATACAGAGTTGTAGATCAGCTGTGGCGTCTCCATTCGGCTGATCCAAATACATTGTAAAAACTACATTGTTGGCAGATTCGTCAAAAAGAACATCGATACTAGCCTAGAATAATTTTATTTAACGCGTGAGATACTGAAGATATATAATGTATATAAGAACATCAGTTATGATAATATTGGCATAAAATCTACTGATATGATGATGTGCATGCGAGCATATTTTAAATGCAAATGAATGAAAACAATATTTTAAGTATTTTACGTTATTATTTAACAAAAATATTATTTAATAAAAATAAATATTAATTTTATATAAACGCATTTTTTTAATTATTTTCTTGAGTTAATTAATATATACTATAATCTATTATCAATTAATTTTTTAAATATTCGCGATTTTAATTACTGAAGAGTAGCCAAATGTTGTAATGCGAACACGTGAAAAATTTTCGCATGAGCGAGGATGAGAAATTTAGCATTTTTTTTTTACTTTCGCCGCAGGACACGCGAGAAATAGAATTCGCACAGAAGAGAGGAAGACGATTGCTCAGGCAAAAAAGGTAATGGGAAATCTGCACGATATTACGATACTATTCTTACATCTTTCCGGAAAAGGAAGACTAGCGCGATAGCAAGGAGAGAAGAACGAACTTCATTCTTTCGCTCGGCATTCAGCGAATCATACGCACCGAACGATACTTTAATGCTCCAGAAGTATCGGTGCTTCGGATATAAAGCGTCTCGCGAAATGAGTTTCTCCTACGTGAGATTTGCAGAAAGCTTTAACCACGATTTGTTATTTGTTCAAAACTTTAAATTATCAAAGAAATTATATATTTTCTCTCGTAGTTTTATTTATGCATTTTGAACAATCGTTCCTATTTTATTGCACATTTATGGAAAATAAATTGGCTAGAAAATATATATAAGGGCTCTTATTTCTTTTCAATAATTTTTATCCTTAGGAAATATTGTAAAAAAAAGTTTACTCTATGCTCTAGACATATGCTTTACAATCTAATATTTACCGGTTGTTAAACAAAGAGAAATGTAGCATGAAGCGGAGTCGAAATAAATTCCACCGTATCCGAGAAAATCCGCCGAAACGCATGGCCCAGAAAAAACTAAATATATGTATGAAAGTGCACACAGCGTTTTAGTTTCAATTTTTAGAATATTTAGATAATGAAAATCTCAAAATATTCAAAATAATTGAAAGTAACATAGATATTTAATAAAAAAAATTGTGACAATAGAAAATAGAAAAATAAAAAAATTATTTCCGCAGTATTCTTTTTCGTATTCTCTCTTTTTAAACTAAAATTGTTAAAAAATTAAAGTTAATTAGCAATAGTACCTAAAAATTTATTATAAGATAATGTCTAATCGTTTCATTATTATAAATAATCAGATTGTCATTTTATATTGATGTAGAAAATTTTTAAAAATCAACTTTTTTAATATTACAATATTATTTAGAACTTTTCAATCTAAAATAATACTTATATTTATAATAATATTTTATTGAAAAAATAATTTTTATCCGAAAGAAAATTTAAGAAACATTAAATCTTAATCTTAAATTTTAAGACTTAAATCGGACAAAGAAGCGTGATTATATATATATATATATATAAAACGATATGTATGCTAGATCTTGTTACAGTCGGTTCTTGAACCGGTGAATCTAAAGCGAATAAACGACGAAGCTTTTCAAAAGCAATTGGCACTCGAGCGAAATAGATACTTAAGACGTCTGAAGGATCTTTCCTCGTTCCGCAACGTAGAGCAGAAAACATTCTAGGTAGCACCTTCTCTAAGCACAGAAACTCGCGAAACCGTAGAAATGCTGCCAAATTAAATTCACAATCACTGGTCGGCCGAGAACCAGTAATTGTGAAGTTGTTACTGTAATTTGAAAGGAGGATAATGATTTGCCGAAACGAGGTACGAGTGAGCCGTCATTTAACCAGATATACGCTGCAATTACTACAGTGCTCAAATTATAAGCTCGAATTATAATAATTGTAGAGATTCACGATATAATTCTAATTTATCATTATTTCATATCATTGTTAATATTGTATTATATTAAATTGTATCTCATTATACGTTTATTATGGTATAAATTATAAATTATATTATATTAATAGAACTTAAACTCTAAATTAAATTATAACAAAGTTACTTTAAAAACTAAAATGTAAAATTTCAAATGTATGCACTTAGAAGGCTACATTCAGCGGTCTCTATGCTAGTCGAATGCGCTGGAAAAGCAACATATCGAGGGGCAATATAGTAGCTGAGGTAGTCATACACAGAATAACAGCTCCCCTAAAGTGTAATACAGCGTCGTCGTTTTCGCCTGTGCATACTCGCCCCATTTCACACGAGTTTTATGCAACCGTACGTAAAATGTTCGTCCGTCACGAGCAGAAACAATCCGATGACCTGCTTAATTCCGCCAGTTTAAACACGTTGTCGTATAACTTTGAATATGTTGCTCGCAAGCGAGTTATAAAGAGCTCGCAAGCCTCCGTTTATTTCGCCTGCCAAAGTAAATATATGACTCAATTTTTCAAGCATAAAATATGACATAAAGTTAAGCCAGTAATAAAGTGTGTTATTGATTTTTTTTAATCGCATTAAATTTTAATATTTTTAATTTTAGATCAATTTTTATAGATAACACGTAAGGAAATATTTAAAAAAGTTTATAGACTAAGAAAATTAAAAATAAAATAAAAAAATTAGTTAGATAGAATTTTAAAAATTGTAGTTACGAATATGAAGAAAATATATTTATATATCAATAGGATAATATAAAAAATATTATTCTATTGATATATACCTAAATATTATAATATTTTACAAAACAGATGTTTAATTAAATAATTCCTTATCGCGCTTCTGTTATTATTACGAAAATGTCTAGCGAAACGCAACTAACTTTCAAGACAGAATTGTGACAAATGCGAATGCAACGGCATGCAATATTCGCGTCAGTGTATACTCAAAGCAAGACATACTTCAAGGAAGAGTCTAGGAGCCTACCTCGCGGAATATTCAGGAATCGCATGATTTCCACGAGAATTTCCATTCTCTTAGGGAGTTCCCGTTCAGAGAGACAAGGTCTCTCTCTCTCTCGTCGAAAGGTGCCTGGAATTCATTACCGCGTTCGCTCGTTCGCTCGCTCGTCTGTTTCGTCCTCGAACTAGCTAGCGCGACCCTTTCAATTTCACGCTGCTGCTTTCTTAAGTTAAAGCCCGTCTCGTTCGCATTCCATCGTGACTTACAGCTGCGATCGGCCGAAAAGGCCGACGTGGCGATATCCCGGATTGATGAAAAAAAAAGAGCGAAGTCCGAGACTTCGTTTGTGGCTTGTACACACGCTTCGTTTCACGAAATGACTCACCGGGAGGAAAACCGATCTCCGATAGATTTTATGAAAACTCGTCCGAGCCAATTCAGCTCTTCAAACGAAATATTCGGCCGAGATAAGCGAAAAATATATTCTGACAATTTTATGCGCGTGACATATTTATGAGCAGAGTGTAAGATAATTCTGACAATGTAGATTACTTTGCTTGAACGAACAAAATATTGTATCGACGAAAATTATACATATACGTATGTATGTAACATTATACATCGAAATTCATTACTTATTGGAAATGAAGATTAAAAAATAATTTATATGTAACACTCACCAGTACGATGTCAGCGGTGGAGTTAGAGGATGTTAATCTGTAAAATAAAAGTATATTCAAATTATATAAAATAATGACTAAAGTAATTATTATTTTAAGAATTAATTATTACATACAGCTGAAATTTTTAATAAAATTATCCTAAATATTACCGTCTTTAAAATAAATTATTATAAATTAAATTATAACCTGTAAAATATTATCGTACCAAAAAATTAACATGATTTTAGAACTCCAAATTAATATATTTAGATAAATTTATATTCAATATATTGGTATGCCTAGTATTTTTCAATAAAATCGAAAAGAACTTGGTAATTAAAATTAAGATTAAAAATTCTGAAATATTCCGCATATTCTACACTTTTGCACCATTTTTAATATACTAGTTCGAACAATCTCTCTTTTTTCTTTAGTAATAATAATTCTTTATATGCGTATATAAATTTTGATATTATTATTTCTATTTTATAATACATGATAATCTTGCAAAATAATTTTTGCAAAATGCAAACATATAACTAGATAATTCGAATCATATGCCTTTATGCTTGGTTTAAATTTACATAAGGACACAATCATTAATTTTTACGATCTAAAATTAAAATCAGCATCATACAGCTGCCGCAAATAATCAAGGCATAAGCTGAAGGGATCTAAATTGATTCGATAAAGTGCAGTTTTACCAACGAGCCGAAACAGAATTAGAAAGAGACATAACGCATCTCGCGAAACTGTCTCGCGTGCACGCGAATTAATTCCGCGCCGTTGAACACGCACGCGTTTGCCAAACTGACGATGACTCAAAGAGAAACATGAGAACAAGTCATCGAAGCGGATCAAGGTGTACCCACAGAGTCGCGACGACGAGTGTCTAATCAAATTAGTGATTATTAACGGGGCATAACTTCGTGAATCAGTGAATTTGAAGAAAAAAATCGGTAATGTGTATTTAATGTCACATTAAATATTTTTATAATATATATATAAAAGTAAATTTGATTTCTTCCAGTGCTGTAAGATTTTCTGGTTCAATCAAAATAAATACTGCATGTAATTAAAAATATTTGTGTGCGTATTATTTATAACATTATTAATAAAGATATTTCATACAATCATTACTTATTATATTAATCTTCATTAAAATATTGTACGATATTTTTATTGTATATTTTTTAGTATAAAGTAATTATCATAATATGAAATTTATTCTTTCTTATTGCGCATGATTATTATTATTATCATAATAAATTAGTAAAAATTATAACGCTCTTATATATTGAAATAAATTGTAAAATTAATGTAAGTATACCTTTTAAAGTTCCACCTTTTAAATCATCATTGGAAACAATCCGCATTAACATCTTGAAATGATTCAAGAACAATATAGTGATGTATTCAGCCTCAAAATCGTACATGCTACACATCATCAAAAGTTATAATCGTTCGCATCACCCAAGTTATTTTACATATGATGATAATTAACAGTAGGAATTGCAATCGTTAGCATTGTCGAAATGTTTTTTAAATTTTGTGATTTAATAAATTTAACGTTTGTGATTTAATTGTATTAATATGTTTTAATGTTTTTTTATATGGTATAATTGGGAAACAATAAAAATTTATAATATTCATTAACATCCTAATTATTTATGCTCTTAAGTTGGCCTGTACTTACATTAATTTTACAATTTATTATTATTATCGTTTCGCAATTATATTCGAACAAGATTGACTGACATTTCAACCGCTGATTAATTTTACTTTGTCAAGACATTGAACGCCGAGCGAGAAACGCCGAACAAGAACCTGACAAAGTTTGCAAACGTAGACGAAATAAATTTCGGGTTCATCTACGACGTAGCGAATAACGATTCCTTCCCTTTAAGGGGCACATTAGCCTCGCGTATCCCGAGGGCAATAGCAAACGGCGCGAACGTCGGTTCTCAAGGGAGCGGTGCATCGCCATCGAATTCTAGAGGGAACTGTTCTAGATTCTACGGCTCGGTCTGGGAAAAAAGGGCTCCTGCGAGTCTTGGATCGAGGGAGAATAGACGGTGAGTCGCCGGTAGATAAAGAGAGTTACGGTAATTGCCGAGTAAAGACATAAAGGACCTATGGAAAAAGAAGGAATCCCGACGCGAAACGGGTTCGCCGAGGTATAGCAGGCAAGATGTTTCACGAAAGTCGTCCGCTTTTGCTAAAGAGTACGGGAGATACCCTATAGAAGTTGAACCAAAAAACAACGGGTAAGTTCTTTTAACGTTGGAGAGTATCGATGGCATTTAAATTATACGGGATAAAGATTGAGAGCGGGATTTAAAGTTTAAATTTAAATTAATAAAAATGAAATTAATTCCAGGAAATATGAAACTTCACGAATGTAGATAGACAGCAAAACTATTAACTTACGAAATTTTACCAGGAATTGGAGATTATATTAAATTCTCGAAGATTTTATTAAATTCACAGTTCGAGAGTAAAATACACTGGAAATAATAAATGAAGCTTTATTTAATCAAAATTTAAATAAGTTATATTTTATCTGATTTAAGTAAATATGAATATTCGATTATACACATAGTACGAATAATGTATTTATCAAAATTGAAGAAACCACGAAGAGAAACTACCTACAGATTTCAATTGCAAAAAAATATAAAAAATTCCCCGCAGAACAAATTTATTGCCGGAAAAATTCTGCAACGCTCTTACTACATTGTGTATATCCCGATAATATTTTCGCAAGACTTTGTGCGAGCATCTACTAGGTACGCGACTCGTTTTCGATGTACCTGGCGCGCAGTCATAAATTATGAACCAAAAATAACGACGCGGCGTAAGAGGATAGAGGAGAGAAACATTCAGATAGACAAGCCGGTTGCTCACCTATATAAAGTATGAAACTATTTTCCCGTCACGTTCGAAAACGGCGATACACTCGGGAAGACGCTACGTGCTCATCGATGATGCCGTGCAACCTCCGATCGTACGCGCGAAAAATTCTCTTTAGCGGAGATACTTGCATCTCGTCGTCGACGCTGGGGTCCGAAACGTCTCGAGTTCTAAATTATTGAAGGGCTTCGGAAAAATTTCAACTTCTTAATTTAGGCATCTCACCTTCTTCCTTACCGGGGGAATTGATCCGACATCAAACGCGAACGAGTCCCTTTAGTTTTTCGCGAAGCGACCCTTTCGCTTTTCCTACGAGGACGTAATTTAATTAACGCTTACGGCGCGTTTGCGGAAAACAAAGTGAGAGAAAGAGTTTTCTCTCTGTTCCTACGCTTTTCTCATTTTCCTCCTTGTCCCATTCCACGGCATTGACTCAGCCACCGTCTTTCTCGTAGTTCATCACGAAAGAGCGAAAAGGAATTGAAAGCGGAAAGATAAGAGACCGAAGAACTGTTGCTGCAAAAACGTAAATAGGAATTCTTTCAAAGATTTGCGCATACCCGAAAAATACTTGACGCTAAGCATTTTTAGATATTATTGAAATCATTTTATCAATCATTTTATCAATTGAAATCATTTTCAAAATATTCTGTCTCTCGAGATTATAATTTTATGAAATAATAAAATTATTAAGAAATGATGAGAATTATTTTTGTAGCTGAAAAAATCAGCGGAATATCGAGAATGATATTCATCCAATTGATTTGCGAATTATAATAATTTCAATTAATTTGTGTATGTAGAATTAAATATATATCGTTTCTGATAAGGGGAATATTATCATCTATTGCATCGAACAAGTTAATTTGCTTTGTAAAAGTAATATTTCGTATGGATCAACTCGCGAGATAACTCACTTAACAATTTTTCAACTTTCTCGCTGCGAATACTATAGTAAAGTACTTGACGAAAGGCGGCCGACATCATTGAAATAACTCTTACACGGTTCGAACGCGACGGAGCGCAAAGTAGAGCCCGTATGTAAATTCGCGAACGAAAGTCGAGGACTGAAACTCGGAGAGGAAAAGAAAGATCGCACCTTTCCGTAAGGGCTTCTCAGATCTCCTTCGGCTTCGTCACCGTCTCAGACGCTGCCTCATCTCTCGCATAATGTCCTATTGAAGTTTTAGTCTTCATCAGAATAACGGTATTACCATGTCGATAGACTGTAAATTGCTATATCATTTTAAAAATTATGCTATACAGTATAAACGGCGTAGCAAACTTATCGTATATGATCGTTTAACTTTAAACAGGAGAATTATTTCATCATTTTTAATAATCTTACATTTAATATTCGTTATTTTTTATTTTATATTTTAAAAACTTGAAAAATTAATCAATATTTCTCTATACAGAATATTTTGCTGTCTCTTTTATTAATAATAGAAATATCTAAGTCTTTGACATGATATAATGTTAGAAAGAAAATATCTCACAATAATCGTCTTCCATTTTCTAATAAGTAATAAAAATCCGAAATTTTTAAATCACCAAGCACCTTATTGTCTTATCGAAAATACTGTCGATTGATAAAATTCTGTCCTTATCGAAGGAAAAGGAGGGAAAGTTGAACGAGTACTATTATACGAGAGATGCCTCTCTAAGGCGTGGCGGCGTCCGTAGGACGTCAGGACGACATACCCCAGCCGAGGGAAGTTCTTTGAAAAATCAGCCGGGAAAATAAATTGGCTACCTCGAATTTCTCTCGCTCCAACGAGTGCCCGTGTAACGTTGTAAGCGTAAAGCGCGTGCTTCCTGCGCGTATCTCCTACACGTCGTGTATATGTACACGTCGGTGCAAACAAACGGAAGAATTCGAGGAACGAGAGGAAGGAAGTGAAGGAGATAGCTGCTACGAGGCGACTGGTAAAATGGGTTACTGCGGCGGCATCGCTTTCGAGGGGCATCTTTCGAGAATTTCTTCCGCCGAACCCTTCTTATTCACCCGCCTTTCCGGCCTTTGCCACGAATAATCGCTCGCTCGTCAAAGCTGTCGGTCGCAACGATTTATGAGATTTTACGGAAGAAGGCGATACTAGTCATCGGTCTATTAATTCAACCAGAAAATCTGATGGAAATT